TGAACTAACCTAACCCAACCGGAAATGTCCCATGAAACCGGAAGTGACCGAAAGCATATGTCTTGAACCGAAAGCATATGTCTTGGCCGAATGCATATGTCCGAAAGCATATGTCATGAATAAGTCAATCAATCCTAAATTACGTCATATAATAACATACCAAATCTATTCTTCATCTGAAAAAAAAACAAAAAAGTGATAGGGGTGAGCCAATTTTGAGACGCACCCAGTATTAGATGTGCGTCATTAGATGTACTGTTCTTAATAATTGAATCGCCATATTATGCATGTACAACACATGCCCATTTTTGCCCATAATGAGTTTATATCGAAAATGTTATCTACTTACTTAGGACCTCGTACTATGCAAGAACCATATACTTCCAAAGTCCAATTTGGAAAAAACGCCAATATACAGGGTGAGACAGGCTTCCGAAAAAGCTCTAATTAGGTTTCTGATTTGTGATTTTTATTTCAATTTTTTAAGTAATATTGGGAAAATGGTACAGGGTGATTCACAACATATTTTCAAACTAAAGTTGTATATTTTTAAATATATACTATAAATTTTTTAGCTCAGTGGATTTCCCATTAAATTTTCATTCCAAAAATGCCATAATGTCATATACTATAAACGAGTGGTTTTAACCTAAAATTACTGTTTATTTTCAATATTCTAAAATCGAGAAAGAAATAAAAAAGTTAACTGGAAGAATTTAAAAAAGTTAACTGGAAGTACTGTATAATATGTCTTCTTCAAAATTCAGTCTATCAAAATTTGCAATCTTGCTTGATATATACAGGGTGTGTCAAAACTAAATATTGTATTTTACTCCATTATTTTAAATGGAACACCCGGTATTTTGTATCAAAATCGAACAAAGTTTTGTTTAATTTTTCTGTTTTATTAAAAAGAGAAGAAATCTTTCTGTTTTATTAATGAGAGAATTGTGTTTTTTGAAAATATAAGACAATATTTGACTTTCGTTCTTTCAATAGTAGATGTTTATTATAGGTTCGCAGCGGGAAGGTTGTAAGAAACACTTTAGCGATCGTTCATTCCCCGAAAGATGTCGCCACACTCCTTGACAATATTGTTACTTAACCTAAAAACGTTTACTTTCTATAAAATTTTATTTAATTTTTTAAGTAAACTTCAATTTTTAAATTAAACATAATTTCACAAAATAAATAAATATTTACTTAAACCTAAAAAATCTATTTGAGAATATTTTTATTCCCAAATACCCTAGACGTCATTTACCTAGTACTCATTTTTATTTTTAATGACGTTTACTACCAGTTGGCATAAGGTTGTAATTTATTTTTATATTGAATACACATAATTTTTAAATGGTGTAGTTTATAATTCAAGAAAAATATTTTTTTGGAAATAGATGGTTGTGATTGGAAACGTTCTATCCTTTTTTAATCTTTCTACAATTAGTGTTAATCTCTGATAAGTTTTATGTCAAATAACGTCTAGGGCTTGACCTCGCTAAAATTATCATCAATTGTCATTCCCTAGCTGTCTCTAATGCCGTGTTATTTTCACTTACTAGAATAGAAACTTGTATTATACTTGTATGTATTAACAGTCGATATTTAAAGAAAACAATTGAACATTAAAGAAATATTGGTTATAATAAAAAATTATATTAATAATTAAAAATTATTAACTTAATAGATATAGTTTTACATATTGTAGCAAAGGTACTAAATTGGACTTAGTTCCCTATGCCATGATATTGGTAATATAGTTTTAATTGTACTTCTCAACATTGCTGGCTTTAGATGTTATGTTATTCTATAGGCTTGGTGCATTCTCCGCCGGTGCTGCCACCCCCATCGGGGAATACTGTAAACAGCCGACTTAGACAAATACACGAAATTGTTGGTATTAATTATGATTTTATAAGATGTTCAAAAAAAATAAGCACTAGTTGATTAAAAAAAAATACTATTAATACTGATCAAATTAAATTTTGTACTCTCATAGTATATGATTATTTACTTTTTTGATTATACAGGGTGTTTCAAAAAACATGTGCCATCTCTCGTGGGGAGATTCCTCACGTAAAAATAAGATTTATTTTTCATATCAACGTAGGTCCGATTCTGCTCTGTTTCGTAGCTACAGGCTACAGGGTGTTAAAGTCTTAATAATCTTTCGATTTATTATAATTTTCTTCCAAGTACTTTTAGTGATTCGAATGAAATTTTGAGAGTGAAAGTTACTATAAGTGCTACATATTTTAAAGCTAAAAAAGTGTCGATAAACTCATCAGGGACGTGCATATGGGTTATCACTGGAATATTTAAAAAAAAACATGTGCGCCAGAGACTTTTTTTCTTTTGATATCAAAATTGTGTAGATCGTTTAATGCTAATTAAAAGATATCTCTTGATATTTAGTCAAATTCGGCCTCCTTGATGAGGTAAACGCAATTTTATAAATCACAATTAATAAAATTAAAATAAAATTAATCAATTGCATATTTTACCTAATTTATTATTAAATATTATTACTATTAGTTATTATTACTATTAGTCTAACCTACAACAATTTCAGCTAACAAAATAATGATATTTAAAATAATTACAAAAAAACTAATTTTAAAAAGTTTTAACATCCTGGAACTCTAAAACTATCCATTTCCATATCCATGTTTATAGGAACTTTTTTACATATTTTTTGATGAGGAATCAATGAGTACTTAGTTAAAACTTTCGCAAGTTAATGATATTCATTTTTTTTAAATGTTGCTTTTAGACTTGGATCAAGGCAAATTAATAAAATTGCGTTTATCTCATCAAGGAGGCCGAAGTTGAGAAAGTATTAAGAGACAACCTTTAATCGGCATTAAACTGCTTACACTAATTCGCTAACAAGACAAAAAAATCAGTAGCGTACATGATTTTTTTAGAAAAATATTCCACTTACAACCCATATGCTATGGGTTGTAAGTGGAACATGTTGACATTTTTAAGTTTAAAAAATATGTTGCATTTATAGTAACTTTTACCCTCAAAATTTCATTCGAACTGCTAAAATTACTTGGAAGAAAACTATAATAAATCGAAAAAATATTAAGACGTATCTACGAAACAAAGCAGAATCGGGCCTATGTTGATATGAAAAATAAATCTTATTTTTAGGTGAGGAATCTCTCCACGAGAGATGGCACATGTTTTTTGAAACCCTGTATAATGGGCATTTTATTTACTCACTTGTTTTGGCGAACTGCCTGAATTAATTTTTGGTTTTGATCAAATCGCTGCGAGAAAGCCTGGAAGCAGTGTTGTTCCGTGAGAGTTGTATTGAATGTTATTGCACCCCACAATTACGCCTCCTTTTCGTGTTAACATTTTTTGGCTATTTTATTATCATTTGAAATTGTCACAACACAACGCGACACCCAGTTCGAGTTCTTTTTCATTTAATTTTTACTACCCGAAACCAGAGTTGCCACCTTTTGTACTGGAAAAATCGGGACAGCACTGGTACAACATTTTTTCTTAAATGTAAAATTTTATGTGCCCATCGAATTTTGAAACAATATTTTATGCCTTTTTGCGTTAACTTAAAAACTATTTAAAGTTGATAAATAATTAGGTAAAAATAAAAAAAGAAAAGTTGAAAACAAAATTAATAAACAATAAAACAATCAATTAAATCGAAAACAACTAGACAAAATCAAAAGTTTCAGTTGTATAATCTATTTATAATTGGTTTTATTAGTTTATTTAATTATTTTTAAATGAACATTTTTTGGCGAAATAAAACACTAATTGACATACACCAAAACACTTTAAAATATAACATACTAAACACAAGCATCAAAAGGCCTTAACCACTACAAGTGCGCTAATTTCCATTAAACACTTTACTTTTAACACCGGACGCGCGTTTCGTTAACCAGCTTAGCATTATCAGCAGATGATGAAAATTGATGGTTAGCTTCAAATTCATGGTTAGCGAAACGAGCGTCCAGTGTTAAAAGCAAAGTGTTTTGGTGTATTGCGGTGAATTAGTGTTTTATTTTGCTGTTGTAACACCAAAGTTTCGAACCCTCAACTGTAATGAATATTTTTTATTTGTTTTATTGCTGTAATAATAAGAGCTTTGTCATTTTTAATAAAATCCAAAAATTCTTATATGCGATATATTAAAATTAAATGAGATTTGAAGTTCCTTCCGTTCTAATGAGCTTAACTGAACATCTATTTCTAGCGTCTACTTCAACATCATACGTGAAAATATATAAATTCACACCACCTTAAACAATGAAGGCATATAATTTACTCTAGTTTTAAAAATACTTTATTTTTTTATCTATAATTTTTATATCCTTTTTGGCAAATTTTCTTTATATAAGTTTTTATTATCGAATATTCATTAAACAGAGTATCAATATCTACTTCTTTTAATTCTAAAATTTCTAAGATTCTAATTAATTCGTGGAAAAGAACTGTTTTTAAATTCAAGAAATTAATAAACATGTATGTTTAAAAATAAATTTTACAATTTTATTGTTTAATAAAAACGTGGCTATTAAACAAATAAAAATCGGGACATTAGGGCTTTGCGTGGGCACGCGGGACTTTTGGATCAAAATCGGGACTGTCCCGACAATATCGGGACAGGTGGCAACCCTGCCCGAAACAGCGTTACATCACACCTGAGAAGTGTATAGTTTCAATAACTGCAATAGTAAAAACCAAAATACTTAAATATTATGGCATAACCACGATTTCAGTATTGTTTGAATGAGATCAAAATGAATGGTTATGGGGATGGATCGTGAAATAAAGTAGACAGTGTTTTCTGATATCTGCCATACTGAGCGTTGCTATTGGAACTTTAAAACATCGGTTGTTGAAATACACCAAGCCTATACTCTTATATTTATTACTTACTTCTTTATATTACTAAATAACAACTTAGCTATACTCTACTATTTAAATGAGCTTTAATTTTTTTTCGCCATCATTATCAGGTCCGGGAACGCCTCCACAATCACCAAAAGTGGTACCAACTACATCCGGATCTCCTTCCGGCAGTGTGACCACATCGACTAACGCGGTCCCCAAAGCAACGGCTATTAATTTTGGCCAAGCCCTGTTGCAAAACGTTCAAGGTTAGGATTTTGTGGCGCCACGTGGTGTTTTGCCAAGATATGTTTTGTCCTTGTTATTCTTGTTTCGCTAATCCATTAACTACGCTGTGTTTTAGTGTGAGCTGTGTGAACTAATAAGGTTTTAGGTGTTTTAAGACTTGTGGTGTTTATTTTTATTTGTTATAAAGGTACTGGGACTCTTTGCAATGAATGGAATAAGATAAGGATAATCCACTGGAGTGTGACCTAAACTTTTTCCAAACTGTTACATGTGGCCTTTAGTCTGTTTGTGTCGTAGGATTTATGACTGCAGTATTTTAGGAGTATTGCCAAAAATATTTTAAAATTAAAATACTTGTTTTATGTCAAAAGCCACTAGGATGAGAATTCTTGATGAAAAAAAAAAGTTTTCTCTGTATTTAGGGTGTTTTGTGTTCCACATAACAGTTGCATCTATAGATAACTACAATCGATACTAAATGATATACCGGGTGCGTCTGAAAAGTGGCTCACCCCTAAAGCTTTTTTATTTTTTCTGAGTAAAAAACGAAATTTGGTATGTTAGTATATGACCTAAAATAAGGGATTGATTGACGTATTCAGTCGTTTTCTGTCACTTCCTGTTTTACCGGAAATGACTACAACTTTGGATTTTTAAATGACACCCTCGGTATATTTTTACTCTAATCGATAGAAAATGACATTCTGAATAGAATGACTTATCATATGTCAACTTTTGGCATTCTCGCTTAATAAAAAATCATATTTTAAATGTCTATCTAGAGTGCCATGGCTATGTTAAAAACACTAATTTTTAATCAAGAGGTCTTGGAAAATAGATTTGATCGTCTAACGTTTTTAGTATCTTGTCCTGGCCGGTTAAAAGATACCCATATTGTATTTTTAATCATATCTCAATTTTTTTAAATGGAACGAGGGTGGCTCATTACAATATGGGGAAAAAGAATTTTTTACGAACAAATTGTCGTTATGAACCGCCGCTGTAGTTCTGACAACACTGTCTCCGGCAACCACCCACTCTGTCTAGCAGAAAGTAGAACTACCGTACAGTATTCTTTATCCGCTGGGCTGTAAACGACTACAAGCGCGCAACGGCACAGAGCTAAACTAAATCTCAGAAAGTTTAAATACATATACATATCAAATATATACTGATTATCGCCTATCCCTGCAATGTGTTGGAGTTGAAGCCGAGTTAGAGAAAACTAGATAACCGGTCCATGTATATTTCACATAAGTTCATCTGTTAGGCAGATACTGGCGCAACAGCGCAACTCCAAAATTCCGAATATCGATTAGCCCTTACTCTGAGGATTAGTCAATTGTCGAACGGGAACGCAAACGAAAGCCGTACGAAGTTGGACGGAGCCCTACGAATGAACAGCTGGTGCTAGCGTCTAGTCTCTTATTGGTCTGGTGATCCGATCGATAATTCAAAATCCAGGCCTGCGCACTACGCTTGAGCACAGCTAACTGAGCGACTTATGCAAATTCCTTCAGAAGATTTATATATACCCATTTCACCGGCTATGGCTTCACAGAATGCAGTTTGGAGTCGATATACTTTAGTTAATATATATATGTATATGGTTGAATAGCGACGAATTTTTTTACGAATAATTTGATACCACGCACTTGGTATTTCAAGTCAAATTGTAGTTATGAACAGCCTGTTATAATTTCAAATAAACCATATGCAAAAATGTCAAAAGTTGACATATGATATGTCATTCTATTCAGAGTGTTATTTTCTAGCGAACAAAGTAAAAAATACCGAAGGTGCCATTTAAAAATCAAAAGTTGCAGTCATTTCCGGTAAAACAGGAAGTGACAGAAAACAATTATTGAATAAGTCAATCAATCCTAATTTATATCATATACTAACATACCAAATCTCGTTTCTTTAAGTAAAAAATTAAAAAAGTTATAAGGGTGAGTCACTTTTGAGACGCACCCGATATGATGAACAATATAATTTAGTATTAACTCATTAGTTAATTATCTTAAGTAGTAGTTATTGTTGTTAGTGACAAATGACTAAGTTTACCTATATACAGAATACGTCAAAACCAAACTAAACATATCTATTAAAGCATGTTAAAAAGTTCTTGTTTTAGACGACCTCTATATTTCTTCTTGTTTTTAACGGCCAAGAGAGACCTGTATACAATACTACATATACTTCAAAATATTTTTGTTATACAAATTTTAATTTAGATAAAAACTAGAAAATTCTCTCTAGTAGTGGTATATTATATTATATCTAGTGGTTTTTACAAACAAATATTTAGACTTCTAAAATGTTTTGGTTTCATGGTTATATTCTTATCAATATTTAATATTTTGAATAAAATTGAATTATTGAATTGGAATAAGTAGCTAATATGTAATATTATTAAATAGTAATATTATTGAAATACTTTTTCTGTATCCATTTTTTCTATTCAACAGATAAATTAATAAACCTATTTAAAATAAAAATGTTTGTTGCTAAAAATACTACACGGTGACATCTATCGTTCCCCAGCGAGCTATCATCCTGAATTTTCCATAGCCTGCTCTAATTTTTCATATAACGAAATAAATTCATCAAGGTATTATTATACGACTAATGAAAATCGACGCTTGCTAGAGAATTTATATTTCAACAAAGCCACTTTAATGTCATTAAAGCTAACCGAATTATTATGTTTATTTTTGGGTATAGAATTGATAGACTTATATTAGAATATTTGTCAATTTATGCAATGTTTGTTTTATTTTATTGTGCATACGAGTTACGGCGTATTTTATTATTTTAGGTTATTAATAATTATTACCTTTACTTTTTACTTATAAAGTACGGTAAGTTTCGGTATAGTTAAAACATAATATTAGATTTATTTGATTGAAATGATATTTTATAAATATGAAATTATTACTACATAATTTGTTAAACTACGATTCTCATATGTCTTTATTGAATTTTATTAATTTATAAAGCACTTTTTTGGTTTAAATCTAAATTTTATGTATTATTTTATTACCTATATTGTTTTCAAGTTTCAAGAAGATTATTAAGATTAAAATAAATATAATTATTTTGATACCTCAACATTTTTAAATTATAATTATTGATAAATCATATAAAATGAAAAAGTTGTGTGCTGCATAAAGATAAAATGTTCTGTGTAGAAATATACAGATATCGACTTTATTATTCTGTAGTTTAATTTAAATTATTGTATCTCAAACGATCGGCTTATTAACAGTATTAAAATAACTGTATTTGACGATCTTAAGAAATATAGTATAAGCATATTTTTAAGTAGTTCATTCTCGAAATAAACTAAATTTTGGAGTTATCTAGAACATTACTAAGAATTTGATATAAAATATTTAATTATTTATAAAATTTTTATTAATCGAGCCTACCTATCGAACATGAAAAGTACCTTCCTATAAAAACAATGTTATAAAAGATCAGAACTGCGATAATACCTCTAAGTAAGACTCAAATATATCTTGCTTTCAGTTGTTATAGATAATTGTAGATTCTTTGAATATTCTCTTATGACTGCGATGCTTCTAGTACAGAATTGATACTTCGGACCAATGCTTGACTTATAAGAATGTTTCTGCTATATTGAATTTGGATATCTCGCTAACTTGGACCTTTAGGATGTAGAATGTATTGGAGGGAGGTTAATCACCGAGACCTTACAGATCTATTGTCTCCCCCTTTCTTGAGTTATAACTCATCATACAATCTCAGAGCTTTGACAAAAACTAGTATCTGAGACGGTTTTACAGAGGTTAATTTTTCATCTCCGATATCAGTCGTACCAAACTTTATGACAGGAACGGTTGTTGTCTCAGCGCACTCAGTGATGAGGTGTTCTGGTGTTTCCCTATTGTCTCTACAAAATTTGCAATCGCCGTTGTTTCTTAGCTTCAATCTACTGAGGTGTTCATTGAGAAGACAGTGTCCTGTTACAAACCCCATGATAATCTGAAGATTGTTCTTACACCGTTAGGGGATTCCTGTTCCAAGTTACGGATGGAAACTTCCAGGTTCTTGAGTTCAGCTTTAAGTTGGTTTCTACTTGGGAAGCAGAACGGTTCTGATCCAATTAGTAGAGTGTTGTCTCCTTTTCTAGCTAGAACGTTTGCTTTTTTATTGTCTTCTATCCATGGGTTGGCTGACATCCAGAGAAGGAGAACTTTATTTTTTTTTGCCTCATTTGTTCAGGTTCTCAGGGCATTCTTTGACCAACTTAACAACCTAACCAATTGATGGTTACAGTTTTGATTGCTTTTAGCTTTGCTTGACTATCGGATAACATGGCTATTTTCTGTTTTCGATAGTTCCTATCTAAAATTTCTGCTTGAAGAATACTGGGGTAGATGTTCATTGATCCGGCGCGGCGGCGGCGTATTTAGTTCTCGTCTCTAGTACTCCTATTCATGTTCCTGCTTTGGTTTTGAAAGCATCAGTATACCACGTTATATCATATTTGATGCTGAGCAAACATTCCTCTTTTCCAATCCTCAAAGTTCTACATTCTTCACATTCTTGGTATGTAATCTACTGGGTGTTGGAAGAGTGAAATTTTCCTTTTGAGGGACCTTGTTAGGTTCATGGAACTTTATATAGTGTTTTTGTCCCATTTGTCCCACTCTGTAGTAGACATTTCTTTATCTTTGTGGGCGGTAACAATTTGACATGTGATACAGATATTGTCTTATATATGTTGGTTTCCTGAAAAAGTACTTAGATTTTTTAACCAAAACATCTCGAAATGTTAAAGAGAAATAAGAGTGTATCAGTCCTGCACTGGGGACATCATTGGCATAAAAGGAAGTTAAAAAAATTATCCATGACAACAGGAAATGTTTTAACTAAGCCAGCTTTGCAAACTAAGAAATAGATATAGTCATTACCACTCTTTCATTTGTTGGGGCACGCTTCGTAGCACACGCCTCTTTATTTATCGTATTATTAGAGATGTTGTAGATAT